TTGTTGCTTCTGAGCTAGATGGCTGCTTGTTTACCTTCAAGCTTTTAAGACCCCAGACGCTATATCTTTTGATAGCTGGGCACCATCAGCTTCTTCACTCTTGTAGGCTTCTTATACCCAGTTTATCTACAGTCCTTTAGCTATACAGACAGACCTCATTTGATTGCACATTACAGATACTGTTGTTTTTTTTAACAAATTGAAGCTTTGTGGGAACCCTTCATCAAGCAAGTCTATTGGCATGATTTTTCCAACATGAGCTCATTTTGTGTTTATGTGTCACTTTTCAGTAAATCTCACTGTTTCACACTTTATCAAAATACTATTGCATACTTAATAGACAACATATAGTATAAACATATCTGTTATATGTGACTTGCTTTATTGAAAAATCCACTTCATTGTGGTGGTCTGGAACCAAACCCATAATAGCTCTGAGATCTGCCAACTGGAAAATAAATAGAGTTGACGATCCTAGTTCTTGGATTTTGTGAATTTGCCTACTTGCTAAAGTCAAATTGTAACCCCCACATCAGTGCTCTCAGGGAATTTTCAGTCGCCCGATGCATACATACCCAGCCAAGAGCAAACAAGGCCGTCTTCCGCCTTCTTGTTTCTGCTCTCATACTGTAAACAAGTAGCCCTTCCACAGTTTATCTAACACCGTGTCTTTCACACTTTGTGCCTTCACTGTTTAAAATGACCCCTAGGCATACATAGTACTGCAGTGATTGCTGGCTGGTAGTCTTATGTTCAAGAAGGAGAAAATACATACATTAGACACTTTGTTCAGGCATAGCTAAAAATGTTGTTGGCCATGAATTCAGTGTGAGTGAATTAACAGTGTATGTTGCGATATCTTTAAATGGAAACATATATATAAAAAAAGTTACGTATGGACTAGTTGACCAGATTGTTGTGATTAGAAACTTCTAGGAACCTAAATCTTCTTTCCCTGGGACCATGGCTCATTACTTACTAATTCATTGTTTGCAGCGACTTTGTAGAAGAAAGCTATTGCAAATAGCATGAATCAACTATATCTATTTTGCTGAATCCTACAACTAACTGCATTTATGAACATTTTCTTGTTTATTAGTTATATAGACTTATAGTAAATCACTAGCTAGTTTCTCATACATCTGTTTGGTTTGTTTTCAATACTTTAAATCTTACTAATTAGAAATCAATTGATAGAGTATTTTGCCTTTATAATAACTCTGAATTATTTTTCTGGATTGTCTTTAGTTCTCAGAATCCATTTTAATATGCAATGTTAATATATTTTCCCATGTGTACAATAATTAAAAGCATTCTTTCTGTCTTTTACCTATCTCTTTCCCATCATCCTGGTGGTACAGATCAGTGTTGTTTGTTTGCTTATTAAAGTAGGTGCCTTAAGTCATTAAAAAGAGTTATTAAAAATACCTTTGACTGTGGCTCTTTTCTAGAATTCAAGGAGGCTATATTTTCAAAAAATGTCATCTCATAATCTTTGTCTCTATATTCTTTGGCATCTCATAATCTTTGTCTCTATTCTCTCTCCTGCCCCTCAAACAAACTTGCTCTCTTTCAAAGGCCTGTCCTTAATTGTAGATGCCAAGAGTTCCATTTTGTACCAACTCTCAAGAGACGAAGCATAGATCTTTTTTCTTCATTGAAAACATTTTTATCTGATTCTGATGTCCCTTCAAACTGTATTGTTTCCTATTTCCATATAATTTCTGAGGTTTTAAAATCATACCTCCCATTTTAAAAAGGTCTATCTTAATTCCTTGTTTCTGCCCTACCTGAACCCACACTGCATGCTGTAATTTGCTTCTAATCAAACCCATTGACCCTGGCTCACCCTTTGTTTATTCTGATCCGTGCTGTATTTGATGGTATTGACAGCTCTGTCCTCAAAAGTCTTCCTCCATTGATGTTTATATGGTGTTTTATTTCTCCAGCCTTCCTCATGCCTTGAGCAATTTCCTAATTCTCTTTTGTCTTCCGTGGCTTTTTCAATCATCAGAGTTTGTTGTTTTAATATAATCCTTAATGAAAACTATTTAATCACTAGATGTGTGTGTGTGTGTGTGTGTGTGCCTGCTTCTACTTCCCAAACTTCTACCTCCAGTCATGCCTAAAAACTCTTCTTTATCCCCTGTTAAAAATGATGGGCCCCGATGTACCACCTCAGCGGAAAAAGGCTTAGTAATCTCCCATAAAAAGTATAGCCAATGTGCTTGACACACTGGAGGAATGTATGGATTGTGGTAAGAGATGTAAGAGCCCCCAATAAA